TTATCCGAGAAAAAAATACATTCTTCAACTTACTCTCAACAAAGAAAGGTAAGGAATTTTGGGACACTACCAAAAAGGTCAACATAACATGCAGGAAAACTCACTCAACTATACCCGAACACTTACAAAATGTAAATGACATACACAATTACTTCCTACAGACCGACAATTTACCAGACACCGCTTCCCAAGAATTAATCAATTTTTACAAAAACAATGTAAACATTAACGATTCTCTTAGCTTCCAACTGTTAGACAGGGCTAGTCCAATTAAAATTGTAACTAATATCTCATCAAGTGACATTGGAGAGGACGATTTCTCTATGAGAGACCTAAAGTTATGTATCCCATTTTGTACGAATGCCTTGCTGAATATAATCATCACATGTATTTTGGGGGGATTATTTCCAGAAATATGGAAGAAAGCCATTGTTAAGCCCTTACCAAAAATAGCAGAACCTAAAGAATTTACAGACTCGAGGCCTAATAGCATATTACCCGCTACATCCAAAATTTTAGAAAGGCATATTTATATTCAAATTAGATTTTTTTGTGACACAAACGATACCATACCCGATAGTCAATCCGGTTTTAGGAAAAACTTTAGCACAAGTACATCATTAGTTAATATCTTGGATGATATCAGACATCATCAAGAACAAGAAAATAGTACGTGCATGTTTCTTCTCGATTTTAGTAAAGCGTTCGACACTCCGAATCATGAAATGTTACTAGCTAAGTTACATTACCGGGGGTTTTCGCAGAACTCCGTAAATCTAATAAAAACATACTTAAGCAACCGTTCAAACTGTGTTATGTTAGCAAATGATTCCGCTATTTACAAAACCGATTTTAAACCTAAGAAGAGAGGAGTTCCTCAAGGTTCAATTTTATCTCCTTTGCTATTTTCAATCTACATATCTGACATGCTCAAATCGGTAAAATTCGCAAAGATAAAACAATATGCACAAGTATATCTCCCTGTCAGTAAAACCACAATCCATATTGCACAACAACAACTAAATTCAGATCTCCAAAGAATTGACAGATTTTCAAAGCATCACAATCTTAAACTAAACCCCTCAAAATAGCAAGTAATGGTTATGGATAAAAACAGTAATGAAAGAGAACATTTTGAATAAAATTTAGTAATTTCTATTAACAATGACAGAATCCCCATGGTTCAGGAGACAAAAAATCTAGGCATTATATTTGATAGCCCGCTTGCTATCGGCAGTCATATAAAAACAGAACAAATTTGGCTTACATGCGACCAAAAAAATATAATCATATTCAAAAAACATTTATCAGCCAAACAAAAATATTATTTGTGTAATACCTTAATTTTATCACTTTTTGAGTATGGAGATGTCGTCTATGGTGATTCGCTATTGTGGCGAACCAAAAAATGCATCCAAAAAGTTCAAAATAGTTGCATGAGATTTGCGTTTGGAATTCCATATCGAAACCATATCACTCTTATCTGAATAACTACAACATATTAAACATGACTAATCGCAGAAAATATCATTTGTATACTTTTATCTATGGGATTATAAAAGCAGGTCAACCGCCCTATTTAAGAGAGAGTTGGGTCTTTACCTCGTCCCCAGATGAGCAGAAATAATCTTAATTTTATCGCACCTAGGCATAGAACGCGTTCCTTCCGACGATCGTTTGCTTATGTGGCGGTTCACTTATGGAATAGTTTACGAACTTGAGTTAAAAGCTCATCGTCAAAAACATTCAAAAACTGACAAACACGTTGTTACAAAATCACCAGCTACTTTAGCAGCGTTTGTGTGAGCAACAATATCGTTTTTACATTCCTACTCGCTGACAAGTTGTATAGATTTGTTCTTCGCGTCCGTTGCCAGCTCCCGGGGGTTCTTTCTTTGTTTTTGCCTTTTTGTTACATTTTGACACATTTAGTGTGAGGAGGTTTTTGGAACACCATGAATTGATAACTTCCAAGTTATTTTGAAGAAGTTCGGAAGTTACGATATTATTATAAATTTTTAAATCATCAGCAAAAAATAAATGATGACATTTAATCTCAAGCGACAAATCATTAATAAATATTAAAAATAATAAAGGTCCCAAGTTAGACCTCTGGGAAACTCCTGAAGTAGCTATGTAGTTATTACACTTGTAACCACCATATTCTACAAATAGTGTTCTGTCCGAAAGATATGACTGGAGGAGCGAGAGTAGATTTTCGGAGAATCCTAAGATCAATAATTTATGCAGTAATAAGGGATGGTTGATCGGTCAAAGGCTTTATGTATATCTGTATAAACTACATCAATCTGGCCTTGTTGATCCAGAGTCTTGCAACAAAGTGGGTAAAACAAGCTAAATTAGATGGTGTTGACCGCCCACAAACAAATTCATGTTGATATTCGGCGATATGGGGCCTGAAAAAATTATAAATATGCTCATCAACAATTATCTCGAATAATTTGCTAAAAGTACACGAAATGACAATCTGACGGTAGTTCGTCATATCAGATGTATCACCACACAAGTTGTATAGATTTGTTCTTCACGTCCGTTGCCAGATCCCGGGGTTCTTCGTTTTTGCCTTTTTGTGTTTCACCGCCTCTTCATTTACCTCTTTAATGTTTTGTTTTATTTTGTTTAAGGAGTTTTAGGGTGTTCAGCGCATTCTCCCATGGACTCTTTGTATTAAAGGGTCCAATGTATCGGTTTTATAATCGAGAGACTGTCCTTTTTCGTTATTGCTCTATATGTCGAATTTCCTTTATTTATGATGTTTCTTCATGACGAAATAAATATTTTGAATTTGAATTTGAGTTTGAATATTACCTGTTGCTAGAAGCCCCAGCTTGAGTTGTTACAATGGAAATGTACATTTAGTTGACACATACATTGCGCTCCTTTTTGTGTACTTGTGTACAACCTATCGTTTATTATTGTAGAGCGTTAGTAGTATGTTGTTGCAACTAGCTTTGAACATCTGGGATATGTATTCTAAACATTTACTTCGTCGAAAACGGAACATAATTACATGATCAAACGAACTTACCTGTAAGTGATGTTCGATCTTAATTATGTGAAGTCCTCGTCAAAGTAAATAACTCCCTGCCTTCCTATGTATCACCCAATTGTTGCAACAACTTGGCTTTGAAGAAAATGAAGGTTTATAGGCGGCCAGAGGGGAGGAAGGTAGGGGGAAGGGGCGCGGTGCCGCTTTCCTTCGCTGCGTGCGCGCTTTGAAATCGTGGGGGGTTGGGTACTACTACGAGGATACTACGATATGTATTCTAAATACTTACCTCGACGAGGACGGAACGTAACTGAGATAGAATATCACTTACAGGTAAGTAAACAATAATTGCGACGACCTTTTTGAAAAGTACCGTATAAGGCGGTTTTTGGATGAGCAAAAGTCTGCATACGCGCTAGAATGTGTGGAACATCTCTTGAATGACCGTATCGGACCTTCCTTCGCAAATAGTGTAAATCAGATGCTGCATAGTGTAATACCGCAGACAGAAACCAGAAATGGGATGCATCGCATTCTAGCGTTGGAGAGTCAACGTACAAAAGACAGTTTCTAGAAAGCTGGTAAAGCTTGCAGATGCCGTGGCGTTTCGCATGTGCATTAGGTGCAATTAGTTGCAAAGACACAGATCAAAAGGAGCACATGAGAAGCCGGTGAAGTTCGTAACTTTATTACCGAACCGCATCAAAAAGACCGACGTTGCTGCTGATGGAAATAGCATCGTATATGAAAGTTTTAAGTTGAGAGGGCGACTTGAAGAATAGTAGAAGATGCGGAGGCAGCAGGTTCAAAAATAACATGGAAACACAATGCAGACAAGATACACATACAGATTGGCCTATTTTCACTACTGCGTAAGGTGAAAAGTGAATATTTTCTACGCCTCTCATTTTCTTGAAACACATGTTGCATCATTGCATAAGGAATTTTATTTTATACCATTTGTCGCACTTGAAAAATTTCTGACAGTCCACTCCTTTTGAAGCGAAATTTCGTCAAAAACCTCATGAGTCACACAATGTAAATTTTTCAGGAGACAAAGACTGTGTCATTGACAAATAGAGTGGATTTAATCAACATCAATTAATATTTGATAGTCACTTGAACCAATGGAAAAACATGCAATTTGACGGAAACTTACAAATGACGGAGCATCCATTGAACAATAGTCAAAAACATCAATTTTATTAAAAATCAAACATTTTTCAAAACTCTAACTAAATTATATGTAAGTTCTTAATATTTAATAAGCTAGTGATGCTTCAGTGTCAACTTATATACTGACAATAACTTGTTTTCAGCATTTCACTGCTATTAGTTGCTAAAATTTGTTAAATGGATCTTAAAGCTCATTCGCTATATTTGACGGACTAGTGCCCTATAGGTGGAAAATAACAGCTTGTTTAGAGACTTGGAGAAATCTACCCTAAAATTACTTTTTTAGGTCAATACAGGGTGTCCGCAAAGTTGGGGTTTTCCTTTTCAGAAACAACTACCATTGAAATAACAAAGGAAATGTGTAGTGAAACGAGGGCGATCAAGTAAAAAAAAATAAAGGAAAAAGTACTCACTCTCCAGTTGACGAGAAGGGCTAAGTACGTCTCTGCCCGAAATCATACCGCTCCAACAGAAAATGAAATCCCACGAACAGAGGTAACAAATATGACGGCGTTGCCGCGTTTTCAGTTTTTAGGTAAACGTACTTTATAGGTATTGTTCGAAGTTATCGCCGTTTGATTCAAAAACACAGGTGCGAGCACGACGTAGCCAAGCATCGGTGCAGGCTTTGAGAATGGAGTTCCTCCCCCGAATGAAAGCACCAGCTTGTTCAATTCTGAGACGAAGTTCGTCAACCGTATGCACTTCAGTTTTGTACACTAAGCGTTTCATTTCTCCCCAAAGAAAAAAATCACATGGTGTTAAGTCTGGAGATCGCGGAGGCCACGCTTCGGGTCCATTACGTCCGATCCACCTATTCGGAAATAATTCATTCAAAAACTCACGCACTTCGCGTCTAAAATGGGGCGGTGCACCATCGTGCAGAAACCACATTGATTGTCTTACACTTAATGGCACATCTTCGAACAAGGAAGGCAAAATGTTGCGTAAAAAGTCTTAGAATATATGGACAGTAAACATTATTGTGGAGTAAATTGAACAAAAAAGACAGAGCGTACTTCAAGCGGTTTGATATCAAAAGTTTTGAGCAATACATTATGGTCGAAACCTCTTTGTGGATAAAAACCATTGCATTTGAAGAACATAAACTTTACTGCTCTTCGTTGAATAGATGCCAATCTGCTAATAGAGTTTTGATAAATAGGTGCCCATATAAGCTATGCATATTCAAGCTTGCTTCTGACGTATGCTAGATATAGGAGCTTGAGTGTTTCAACGTTTGAGAAACCTGACCATTTTCTAACCCTAGAATTCGGAAAGAAGACGATGTAATGCTATTTAAATGATCATTAAAAGTGAAATTGACATCAAATGTAACACCTAAGTCGCTATAACTGTTACTCCTTTCTAACCTTACCTGATTAATACTGTAGTCATCATAAAGCATAACATTCCGTTTTCTGCAATATGTTACTACTTTACATTTTGACACATTTAGTGTGAGGAGGTTTTTGGAACACCATGAATTGATAACTTCCAAGTTATTTTGAAGAAAATGACAGTCTTCGGAAGTTACGATATTATTATAAATTTTTAAATCATCAGTAAAAAATAAATGGTGAAATTTAGACCCGTATCGTCAGTCGTCCCTACAATTGTAGGGCGCGTTTATGGCCTCCTTGATTGTCACAGTCCTTTCACCAACCACTCACACAACCGCACTCTTGCTGGAAAATCGTCAGGTTGAAGGGCTTGTACACGTTGGACGTGAAACGGATACAGCCTCTCTTCACGCAGCGTTTGCCACACTTTAGTTTTTGATACTTGCACTTCTCTAGCCACGTCTCTAGTGCTTGTTGAGGGTTTCTCGTGTACGCGATTACCTCTACACGCGTGACCGTAACCGTCGGTTGAAGGTTGCGTACTGACCTGACACGCTGACCCCGACCCAGTTCTGTCGTCGGGTTGAGCCAGTGACCTTGTACCACTCGTTGATGTCGCGGGTCGCGGCTACAGGACAGTATACAGATATTTTTGATGTTGCAGAGCCCTTTATCTCGGTTCCCTTAAGACATTGGTGTATATGGTACTAAGAAAAATTGCTTATGTTTTCAAGATCTACACGTCGTGTAAAGGAAAACCCCAACTTTGCGGACACCCTGTATACTACTTGCCTTTTAAAATATTGTATATTCGTTATTAGTAACAGTAATGGAAAAAAACTCGAAGATTAGTTCTGTATCCTTGTACTGTTTATAGTAGTACACGGAAAAACCACCTAAGTCCCCGAGCTATGTTATTTATGTGGGTCTATACCCAGAATACGTATCTACCTTTAATGAATCATTTTCAGTAAGCGAAGCGTGTTGAAAAGAAATGGACATTAGTGGTTTTTGAATTGACCGATTTATTTTAGGTAAAATCCCTATCATCCTTCGAATTTAAAAGCTTGAAGTTAATGAAGCCTGAGATTAATCTTTTCAATTTTATGTCAAATTATGTTGTAGGACAAGGCTAATTGAATGCCTACCTGAAACAGTGAAGTGCTGTCCTCTTTTATTCTTGAGAAAAATGGATCTATGTCACGACGTCACATAATAAATTGTTTCAGCCTCCTCTCGGACCCATTGCGCTTATGGCCAATAATGAAAACTTCATGTGCCATGAAAAATGGACTTTACTAGTGTCTCAGCTGAAGCAATATTTCTTTCCTTAAGCACAAAGAGCAAAGAGATTAGAAAAATATTATTTAAATATTAATCTCAAGAAGTCACTTATTCAAAGTTTCGTTGTTACAGTTTCTTTTTGTGGTCTACTAAAAATTGACTATGTCTTGCTAAAGTAAATTATTGGAGTGTTTTCCCTATTCAGAATAATAATTTTATAACAGTTGTTAATAATAATAATTTTGTGGTATAAAATCATGCTCCACGCACCATCTCGTTAAAGGTCATTTCTTATAATTGCTGCCGATCATAAATACGAGAGCTGAAGGTGATTTGGTGCTATTCCCGGTACTCTCGTGTAGGAATTCAGCGGCACACTACCCGATTTTGTGAAATAGTTTCACACGTAGAGCTGCGGATTTATAGGGTGGTGGAGAGTTTAATAGAATTCGGCCTCAATTAGTGAGTTTGTTGTCGGAGTCCTTTTTCTCACCCTCTCGGGAATTTGGCCGTAGACATAACTACACTCAACCATCGAGCTGGTCAGTGAGAATTTTGTTGAAGCCACGTGTTGATTTCATCAACATGATTTCTAATTCTATAGAGGGGAACTGTCTGCATTGATAATCCCATGCGAATTTAAGTAGGACTGACACCTGTGAGGATTAGTTGCCCATATCTGTGAACCCTCCATGTTCGAGGTAGTTATGATTTTTTGTTACTTTGCTACTAGCTGAAAACACAACCACTTCGTTCAAAAATTAAGCATAGAACTATGAGCAATTTTATTTGTGTCAGTTTAGGCGTACTTATGTAACATTAGGGTTATACTTTAACCATTCAATCATCCATTATTTAGGTCAATATGGAATTTGTCAAAAGCTATTAATTCATCAACGTATTTAGTAGTAAAAATAGAGAAACGTTTTGGATTTCTAATTGGTGACATTTATACAATATTGTTCTGTATAATGTAGTATTATTTTTATATTGTTGTACTCGTAGCTTCTGATTTTGGTCGCATAATTACTGAAATTTGAGAGAACCATGCCTGCGAGATAAAATATTCCTTTGGTTCACAAGTAACATTTTAATTGCCTTACTTGTAGGCTGAAGGAGGACATGAAATGTTTTACCTTCGCATCCTTATGTTCTTTCACAGGTATCTGATTGTTTTAATTTAGTTCAGGTTTATTTAAAAATTTGAGTATTGCTAGTACAAGCACAATTTCCTTGAAGACCGTGGTTGAACAGCAACTTTGTTTCAATTTAAAATTTTTGAATTGATGTAACACACGACTAAATGGTTACATTTTTAAGGTAAATGTTTAATTCTTGGAAGCAAACTGAAAGGGGGCGTTATTAATCACATCGTTATTTCGGGTTATTTTTAACAAGTGATTTTTTCTACCTACGGGTTCTACCTTCGGGTGTAGAGTTACATCTGGGACTTCCTGCCCTCGGTTGCCCTCTGGTGATAGCCAAGCGCCTACCAAATAATTTTCTTTTGATTGTCCTCCAGGACTTCTTTTGAATTTTTATTTTGTTCAATAATGTCTGTGTGCCTTGTGAGTTTGTGTCTGCTTAACTCTAGACACAACATTTTTTAGTTATTTCATTTCCTAGTTCTTCAAACTAGGTGGCGCCCAAACCACAACCATTTGAATCCAAAATCCAAAGTACAAAGAACCACCCCCTGAGGGCTCATTATCTACCAGCTAACAGTGTCTTCCGCGGGATAACATCCTATAAAAGCAAACGTGTTTTGTTTACGCTACATTTGCTATATTTAAGCGTTTATCTCTATTTAACGAAAAAATAGTCCAAGTCGCTCCAAGAATCAAATTCTAAGAACATCTGAATGAAAGTTTACAGTTCAGTTCCTGCGTATCTGAAAATTATTTAATAGGTTCCTTTACATAATTTAGACGTGTTACCTATAAAAATGTGAAATCAACAGTTAGTGAAAATATTTTGCATACAGGGAATCTATACTTGTACATATAATAAGTACATGTGGAGCTTAGATGGATATACCTTCAGGGGACAAACTCCAGATAAGCTTGTCATAATGTTCTAAAAAGCTACAAGTGGTCACAAGTTGTTCTGCAGTGCCTTTCATAGTGTAACTTGATCTGTGTTGAATTCCCATATTTTATTACAATCTACTTATTTTAAAACTAGAGTAGCCATTGAATAACAGGCGAGTCATAGTAAACACTGTATTTACTTGCCTCTTTATGTTTTTTGAAATCTCCTTATGAATCCTCTCTTACTGTTATCTGTTCCTTTCTTCTTTATATTATTTGTAAAAACGTTTTGTGAGTACCAAGTCTATGATGAAGTTATGGTAGATTGCTTTATCTGCGACATATCGAGAATGAGCTGTTATGGTACAAAAGTAGTCGTACGGAAGTAGATTCGGTACACTTTGTTATTCATCGTGACATCGAACATTAATCACATGCGTTCATCTGAGTTCATCTTCTGTTATTCTAGACGTGTCTATCTTAATATATTTGAGTGCTTCAGTTTTGATTTTCTAGAGAAGCTAGACAGAGTTAAAAACATCCTATAATGGGTGAATACAAATAGCAAGTCACGATCATACATGTTAGTAATACTCAAGTTGTGTTGCTTAAAGTATACCGAAAAGTAAGTGGTTTCAAAGCGTATGTTCGGCAGTGCTCACTTACTGAGCAAGAGTTGCACGTGCGATATGTCGAAAGGTGACTCATGCGGCACTGTCCGAGGCGACAGCAAAGCAGTGGTTCAGTAGTCGCACAGTAATCCCTATTCCTTGATAGGTCAACCAAGGAGTGAGCTTTCAATGCAGATACCATATATAACTAAAAATAAGACGTTAATTGAAGAAGATCCTCAAAGTAGTACCTACGTGTGATGCAGATTTCGGTTGCTATCGTTAGATTCTAGAAGATCATTGCATGCTTTGGAGAAGTCTTACAAGTTTAGTGTTTCTGCACCCAACCAGTTGAGCCAAGATTGGCCTACATATCGGGCACAGGTCTGTGTTCATCTTCCGTCGTTTCGCCAGACATTTAACTGACTAGATTATCTCGCTATATTAATCCTACACATAAGCGTCAGTGGCCGGGCCCCAACGAACCAAGCAAACCAAAGGAGATCTTCATCCTCGCCAGATGATGCGTTAGGTGTAGAGGTTTGCGCATGGAATAATATGCTGGAAAATGTCTCTTACCAGCACCACGTATATTGTTATCAGCTTGAAAATGTTAAGCTTCAACTATCTCGTAAGCGTCCATAACATCTATATACAGGGTGGGGCATATGAGCTATGTGTTTTTAAAATAATAATAATAAAATTATAAGTTTTTACTCTAAAAAATGTTTATTGGTAGCACAATATAGGTACGAACAAAGTATTTTAAAATATTTATGAATGGAAAATAACAGCTGGCATGTAATGATAGTTTTCATTGACGCATTGCTGAGGTCGTTCTCGAAGATTTGCCTCCACTCCTTCCAGTAGATCTCTGTTGATTAGACTAACTTCGTGGCGAATCGCTTCCTTTAATGCATCTAATCTACGTGGCTTGGTCTCGTAAACACGCGACTTACGGTATCCCCACAAAAAAAATAGCATCTGGATAAGTCAGGTGATCTGAGAGTCCTTAAAATGTCACCAATCACCAAACCGGGAAACAACCGGAGAAGAACATCCATAGATGCTCTGGCGGTATGTGCCGTGGCCTCATCTTGCTGAAACGACTAATCTTGCATCTCCACACCTCTTCTTTGTAAGGCCGGTATGAAAAAGCTGTTAGCCGTATTAATGTAACCGTCAGATGTCAGAGTAACGGTAATCCTATTTTCTTCAAAAAAATATGGTCTAATGACCGCGCATCAAACTGTTACCTTAAGGTTCTAGAGTGGCTTTGCATGATGTAGTTCTCGCGGATTTTCGAATCTTTGGCGGAATTCAAGTTGTACTGCAGTCACCGACTCGCAAGTCCTAACAAAACAAAGGTAAGCTCCATGGTTGTGACTGAAAGTGAAATTATGGAAATGCTTTGAGTCGAGGAATGGATTATTACATCTATCCAATCTAAGAACACTTGGTTCCTATGTCCCACCATGTATATAAAAATGGATCCCTATTTCCCGTGGTCACGCCATAACTTGTGATCAACTTTACCGATTTCATTCATATATTTTTTAAGTTTCCTTATATTGTATAAAAGGTTCTTATGGAAAGAGAAATCAAGAAACTTGTGCAGAAAATAGGTAAATCATTGAAAACCTAGTGATTATTTAAGCTATGCGCGTTTGATAGTTCGCTTGAGTATGGAGCAGGCACAGCAGAAGAAGTATCTCAAGTACTAAAAGATATAGGCATTCCTGTCCGCCATCTTTATTCCAACAGCTATTGACAGTTAGCTATGTGAGAGAAAATTGCTTATGAAAATACGGTGCTTTCGTTTCTGGACGTTCATTTCTTTACCATCCGTAATTTGTGATGGCCCTTTAAAAGAAACGGCATGTTGCCTGATTTTTAGCTTTAGCTTTGGTTAATTGACTCTCACTACTCGTCATTTTGAACTTGACAACTCGCACGCCGCAAATTGATATTATCGGTTAACAGTGTTTATTGATTTAAAAATATTTCTTTATTTAATTAGTAGTGGACAGTTCATTCGATTACAGCGTTTTTCCAGTTTTCAGTTTGTTCCGTGAGTTTTTGTTAAGTATTTGTTCAAAAGTAATTAACAATGGTGTAAGTTAATTCACCAAAATCACCCCTTATATTAAAATTGTGGTTCTTCAAAATGCCATCAATTAGACGTACCAACCGAGGTCGCCAGACTTGCAATGCTGCGAGTCAAAGATGTATTTTATACGAAGAAGTCAAACTGACGAGCAACGAGAAGCGAGAATTGAAGTAGAACGGGATCGAAGGACTAAAATTCAACATCCTAGATG